TTTCGTAAAAATTTTGGAAAAAATATGAAAAGTTTGTGGTAAAACAAATAAATAATAATAAATAAATAAATAAAATTAAGCAAAAATTTAAATAACTACAATTTTTCTCGAACATTTTTTTTTTAATTTCCCCTCTCTCCACTTTTCTTCTTTTCTGTCTGTTTTTTTTCTTTTTTTTTGTTTTCTTTTATTTTTGGTTTTTTTACACATGTTACCTCAGTAATTTTTAAACTATTTCTGTCATAATTATCAAAAGTTCTAGGTACAATCCCGGGCCCGAATAATTTTTCTCTCTATATTACGTAAACAAAAATAAAATACATAAAATTCATAAAAAAATGTGAATAAAGAAATTATTTTTTTAATTTGCTTGTTTTATTTCTTGTAAAATGATTATTGACCATTAGAACTTTGCAACAAACTAAATAAAGGCACTTTTTACAACTAGTAGTGAAAAATTCATTTATTTATCAAACTAAATATGTCAAATAAGTTTTTTTTGTTTCAGAATTGTGTGTGAGTATGGCTGTGTAAGAAACCTTCTCAAGATTCTTAACCAGTAAGTGTGCAAAAATTCTTTAAGTGTTAAATCATCTTTCTCGTGATATAAATTTGTTGCGGACGTGATTCTCCGTTTCGTTATATCGTTGATAAATTCACATAGATGTCAAACTACACCTTAGGGATGCTTTGAAATTGGTGCTGGAAATGCTTTCTTGTACGTTTCGAAGTTTGTAAAACTTGAAATATATTTCACTGTAAATCTCAGTGCGTATGCGAAACACAAAAATACTTTTTTCAATTCGAATATTTCAAACTTTTTATTGATAAGAATGTTAAGCTTTTGGCTGTATTGATTTTATCGACGCTTTCTGAAAGCTCAACAAACTTTCAGGAGATTAATGTTTTTCCCCGGTAAAGTTTAACGTATCTATAAAGTCCTAGACTACAGGTATAGTATTATTTGAAGTCGGATTATTGGCTGAAAATTGCTCTTCTATTGAACAAAATTCTATCCTATATTCTATATTCTATATTCTATATTCTATATTCTATATTCTATATTCTATATTCTATATTCTATATTCTATATTCTATATTCTATATTCTAT